ATCGCAATGTCTCAAGAGTAATTGTTGGATTTAATCTTTTGTTGATTCTTGAAAAAAATTTTTAAAAAGCCGATTTTAACATCCGAAACACAAATTCGACAAAATCATCAAATTATTGATCAAATTGTCAATAATCATCCAACTTATTTAGGAAATTTTCAAATTTGATAGAAAATTAACATAAAATTCATCATAATAGATAAAAATGATTGTTTGTCGTTTGCAAAATATCATTAAAAATTACGAAAGGGAATTTTCGATCACTCAAAAATTATTTTTCTAATTATTTAACTAAACTGTCCTCCATTCTCAGGTAGCAGAATGGCATCTTAATAACGCTTTAATGACGTTATAATACGTCATCTTGCTACCTAACTTACTATATTACCAGAGTATACTATCTGCTGTAGCAATATTATTATTAAATAATGTATTCATATGTCGATTACACACATTATTATGTTGCATTGTAACATACATGTATGACATGTATACCTGCATTGTGGCATACCTGCATTGTGGTATACCTGTATACGGCATGTACACCTGTACGGCATGCATATCTGTATGGCACATACTTGTATACGATGTTCGTCGAAGTCGCGCGTTTTGCCGGAGGCCACGCGGAATTAACAAGAGTGGATGGAGATTAATTCCGGCGCTAATTTAGTGGCAGGTAGCAAATGCCCCGGCCAAAGTGTTCCCCTGGGTAAGTTGCACCTAGACTTTCCAGCCGCAAATGAAACTCGAGCTTCACGTAGTTATCTCGTTTTCTTCATCCCCTTTCGGGCAGCAGTAGCCTTCTTGCCTCGAAGGCGCGAAAAAGTGTCGCGACCGAGCTCACCTAAGAAAATTTCCGACAAGATTATATCGCACCTTCATGGCGTTTGGCTGATGCATAGCATCTTGGCAAAGATTAAATCGATAAATAATATAAAATTAAATTAAATTCGACTTAAATTAAATTAAATTAAATTAAATTAAATTAAATTCGACTACAAAGCAAAGGCCGCGAAGACATTTGGATTTATGGAAATAAAAGTGTTTCATAAATATCTTAATTTTATTATTATTATAAACAGAGATAACTTCAAGACAATTTTAATATAATTCTAAATTCATTCTAGTCGACGATTCAATTTAGCATAATCAATAACAATCCCTCGTTCACTCTTGGAACATTTTCGAATAGAATCGATATATCTGCAAATTTATTTGACATTTTTAGATGTTCGAATTGAAGTAATAAATTATTAAAAATAAAAAAAGAGAATTAAATTAATTCAATCAATAAATAATATAGAATTAAATTAAATTCGATTTAAATTAAATTAAATTAAATTAAATTAAATTCGACTACAAAGCAAAGGCCGCGAAGACATTTGGATTTATGGAAATAAAAGTGTTTCATAAATATCTTAATTTTATTATAAACAGAGATAACATTAAGACAATTTTAATATAATTTTAAATTCATTTTAGTCGACGTTTCAATTTAGAATAATCAATAACAATCCCTCGTTCACTCTTGGAACATTTTCGAAGAAAGAATCGATATGTGTGCATTATCTGCAAATTTATTTGATGTTCAACATGATGTTTGACATTTTTAGATGTTCGAATTGAAGAATAAGTAATAAATTATTAAAAATGAAAAAGAGAATGTTAAAAGTATATTATTATATGAGAAAGATGAGAGAGAGAGAGAAAATTCACATATATTTTTTTATTTTTATATTAGATACATTCAACTGAAATATAGACCACAGATTGTTTCATAAAAGTCAATCTATGTTTCAGTTGAATGTATATCATATATACATTTCCTAGCAACGGATTATTTTATGATTTTATTTTTTGATGTGAAAGACTTTGCAATTCTGTGATATAAAAATGCGAAGCATAAAAGGACATATAAAACACTCTTCATATATGAAAATAAAAATGTGTAAAGTGACATCTTGTTTTTACAGTGAATATAAATAAAAAGTCACATCACTTTTATCGACGTCAAATGTCATTCTAATTTCTAATTTTTGACAGAAATTGATAAATGTGAAAGATAGGAGAATAAGTGACAAATTGTTAAGAATAAAAAAAATGTTAAATATATACCTACATGTGTTATTATATCAGAAAGAGAAAGAGAGAAGCTTGAACGCGTTTAAGGGCTTCCGCACAAGATGTTCCGTATCGCATTACGTTACGTTAAGCATCAATGATAAATTTAATTCGTAAGACATGTCTTTCCGTTACGATTTTTTCTGTGCGTTGACTGAAGTTTAAGTTTACGTACGGAATTAAATTTATCATTGATATTTAACGTAACGTAATGCGATACGGAACACCTTGTGCGGAGGCTCTAACTCGCTATTTTCTTCGCGAAGCATGCTTACCAACATTTTTTTTTAATTCATCGAGCAAGCCTGCCAATGGCGGTTTTTATAAACGTTTAAATTTTATTAAAAAACGTTTTATAAACGTTTTAATTTTATTATTATAAAAGAAGACAACGAGATTTTATATCATTTATTTTTAATCAATTTCAAAATCATTTATTTGAAGTCAATTTCAAATTAAGATTTTAATCAAAATTTTAATTTACCCTAATCATTCTAGATACACATGCATAATCTGCTTTCAAAACTGACATTTCTAAATGTTCAATAAACTGAAAAGAATAGGATTAAAAGGATAAACGATTAAAAATGAAAAAATTCAAATGACGTCATAGTGCGTCATTAAAACGTTATTAAGATATCATTTGACGTCATTCTACTGTCTGGATTCTTTCAATTTTAATCATTCACTCCTCTAATCTTCTACGTTATCAAAACGTACACAACATATGTCAAACAGTTTTGACAACAGATTATGCATATGTATTTAAAATATGTGAAAGCTAACCCAAGTAGAACATGAAACTCATAATGACATCATTACGTTATCATGATGTCATTATGAGTTTCATGTTCTACCTGGGCGATTTTTTCTCAGTGAAAATGTCGATGAAGGCTATCATTCTTTGTATGTTCCCGATTTTTGTCATCATATATCTTTGCAATTAAGTCTTAAATTAACTCAACTAAAGTAAACTCTATTTAAAATTAATCGAAGAATGTGGTTTTGTTAATATTTTATTTCTACAAAATTTTATTTCTACTTAGTTTACGAAAAACCCTTTATTTCCAATCACTTATAATTCGAAAATTATTAATTTCTCGACATTTTCGTTGAGAAAAAATCGTCTTCAGATGATCCCAGGAATCTGTCTTTGAAAGATTCATTATAAATTTTGAGACACCCTGTATATATTATTATTATTAATACATACATATTTTTTAATAATATAAAATATATATAATAATAATAATAATAATAATAATAATAATAATAATATATAATATTATTTATAACAATATTTGTATTATAATATTATATTAATTTCATTGTTATACTAATTTAACTTATATTATTTATATTATTTATTATATATTAGCATTATATAACATTTATATTATATAAAATAAAATACATATAATATTTTATATTACTATAAAAAGAAAAAAAGAAATGGAGGATTCACACTACGTTCAATTTCGATATCCAATAGGAGAATCTGTCTCATATAAAATAAATCGTACGTTGAAAATCGGACCCAACGAGAATCCTCCAAAAAAAAAGGGACGATTCGCCAAGTTTGAAAAATTCACCAAACAAGTCCACCAATCGCAAACGCTTTTCGAGCGTTTTAGTACGCGCGCCGGCCGCTCAGATGTCGCCTCTCCCGAGACGCGAGCCACTCTTGACGTTTCGCGTGCTTCCCGGCCGTACTCACAAAGCCAAACGAGCGGTCAGCCTCGGCCAGCCATGTTTGTATAGTGAATAGAGTTGTGGGTGGTACGCGTGGTGCCGTACGTACGTGTTGTCCATTATTTTTCGCGTGTGTGATAATGCTCGCTTATTTATTTACGTAGCGTAACACGAGAGCGAAGGGAATAGGATCCTCGCGATTGATGCGACGACGAGGAGCGAAAATCCTGCACGAGGCTCTCGCCCGAGGATCGCGCATCGTCTCCCCCCGAGACATCGGCTCTAAATGTTCCCCCTTGTTTCCGCGAAAATTCTTGTTTACGTTTACGCGATCCGTAGAGGCGCGTCGACTGGTCCCGCGCGTGATTTAGCTACCTCGTCGTGAAGGAAGGCGCGTGCTCCCCCGGTTGCAGCGAGTCGCGATTTAACGTCGTGCGATTTTTTCCGCGTTTTATAACCTGACAACACGAGCGAAGTACACTTGCCTTCGTCCTCCGTGTAGCTTATTTATCATGCCGTTGCATCTTTGACGAAACATTATCAAACGGTAAGGTACCCTTTCCACGTCACCTGGGTCACTTAGTGTCATATTTATTATTTGTCAACGCGTGATACAAGAATTGAGAGATTATTATATTTAGATTATATTATTATTATTAATATTTATTATTAATATTATTAATATTATTATTATTAATATTATTAATATAATTATTAATATTTATTAATATTAATATTATTATTAATATTATTAATATTATTATTAATATTATTAATATTATATACTATTAATTATTTTGTATTTATTATTAGATATTTATTAATATCATAAAAATCGAGATTACTAATCATATAATTGTAATAACTATATAAGTCAGATTATTGACTCGGTTCCATTTGTCACGTGTAGAAATCATTAGTTTAATCGGAGAGTTGTTGTGACGACTAATTAGACTGAAAGTTTATGATTCAAGTCTACTTGAATTTATTCCAAATTATGTTTACACTGTATCGATTCAATTACGTAATATATAAAGATTTTCCTTTTTTTCCCTTTTTTTAATTTTTTTTTTTATTAAATATATATTGTAAATAAGTATATATAATAAAAAGGTTGTTTGTTATTTATTACAACAAAATATCTGTTTCTATTTCCATAGGTGTATACTTAAATAAAGGATATTACAATGTGGCAAACGCAAAGTAATAATTCCAATAATTCCAATCCAAACTCTACATCGAATGAGAAGAACAATTTACGTACTCTGGGCATGACATCTGCTATTAGCGTGGCAGAGCCTAAGCCCATTGACATTGCCAGAACTAACGAATTGAAGGAGGCCCTTAAACCCTACAATGTTTTCGAATCTGAAGAAGAGTTGAATCATAGGATGGAGATCTTAAGGTACTTTTGATAAACAACTGTGTAATACGATTCTATTATTAGAATATATTTAGTTGATAATGAGAAAAAGTATACATGTATATATAAATTACTAAAACTTGCTTATATTTTTATCAGCAAACTGAATGCATTGGTCAAACAGTGGATAAGGGATACGAGCATAGCTAGAAATATGCCACCTAATGTCGCTGAACAAGTTGGTGGTAAAATATATACATTTGGTTCATATAGATTAGGCGTACATCACAAAGGCGCCGATATCGATGCGTTATGTGTTGTACCACGTCATATATATAGATCGGATTATTTTGCGACCTTTTTTGAATTACTGAAGATGCAGGAAGAAGTTACAGATTTAAGGGTATGTGTCTTAAAAATATAATTGTTTCTTTATTAAATATTTATTTTTTCATCAGATGCTCTTTTACATGACTTCACATGGTAAATGTATTTTTCATTAGTATAATATATATTTATTCCAATTAAATTACATACATATATTTAGTAAAAAATTTATTATTCTTGATGTCTAGCACTAAAATTAAAGCAGAAAAGTGTACATATGTATATTTATATATAATTATCTTTGATATATATTAAATTCCTCTATTACAATTTGATCAATGATATTTGCAATATTTATGATATTTTAGGCAGTGGAAGAAGCCTTTGTACCCGTCATAAAAATGAATTTTGATGGTATAGAAATCGACATGCTATTTGCAAAGTTAACTCTTAAAGAAATTCCAGACTCGATGGTTAGTAATATTTAATACTTATGTACAAAGATACTTTTTTCCAACAAGTTTTAGATTTTCTAAATAAATGTCTAATAACTTTATAGGATCTCAAGGATGACATGCTACTCAAAAATCTCGATCAAAAGTGTGTCAGAAGTCTCAATGGTTGCAGAGTGACAGATGAAATATTGCGCTTAGTACCTAATATAGAAAATTTCAGATTGGCTCTTAGGGCTATAAAGTTATGGGCGAAACGTAAGATTATACAATATTTTTAATAATTATTAATAATAACATACTAATGTATATTTTTTTGTTTTTTCATACTTAGGACATGGCATATATAGTAATGTCTTAGGCTATCTTGGTGGTGTATCCTGGGCGATGTTAGTCGCTCGAACGTGTCAGCTTTATCCTAATGCCGTGGCAGCAACTCTAATAGAAAAATTTTTCCTCGTATTCTCTCAATGGAAATGGCCACAGCCGGTACTCTTGAAACAACCTGATAATGTCAATCTAGGTTATCCAGTTTGGGATCCGAGAGTAAGAAATTCTGTCCTTTTATATTTTACAAATAAATTGCATTTAACAATCAAAAATATCCAAAAAACATATATAATAAAATTTTTTATGCACATAAAGTATATAGAAAATTGTTATCTCAAATTGTTTTGTCCATCTTTAAATCTTTTATTCGTTTTTTTTTTTTTACAGGTAAATGTGTCAGACAGATATCATTTAATGCCAATAATTACGCCAGCATATCCTCAACAAAATTCTACTTTTAATGTATCTGTGTCTACAAGAACTATTATGCAAGAAGCATTTGAAAATGGACTAGCCATAACTGAAGAGATCATCATTGGTAAAGCAACGTGGGACAAGTTGTTCGAGCCGCCAAACTTTTTTGGAAAATATAAACATTACATTGTATTGTTGGCCAGAAGTTCAAGCGCAGAAGACCAACTTGAATGGTGCGGTCTTGTCGAGTCAAAAATACGACATTTAATAGGTAACAGAGTGAATAACAGGTCTATACATGTATTTTTATTGTATTTTCATTACAAATTTTTTCTTCATATCTTATCATATAATTTTAATTAACTTTTAACATTTGCAGATGCAAATTGAAATTGAAATAATAGATTAATATAATATATTATGGCAATGCATGCAACTTTTAATTCAGATTAATTCACTAAAAACTAAATAGGTTGTAACTATTTAATATTTTATATTTATAACTTCTTTTTGTCATTTTTATCTTATCACATAATAAATGTAAATTTTAAACGAAATAATTGCAAAAACACTATGTGTGCAAAGGTAAAAATATACAGAAAAATGATTATTTATTAAGAAATAATTATTTTTCAGGAAGAAAACCGAGTAATTAGTGGGTTAATCTCTATTTTAATTTTTAATGTCTTGTAATGATAAGATATTTTAAAATTGTGAAGATATATATACATACATGTGCTTTTGTAGCATTTATGTAATATTTCGATACTAACAATTCGTGGATGCCAAATTGGCAAAATCATAACCCTTCATACAGGTACATTGGAGAGAAATCCTCATATTACTTTGGCACATGTAAATCCGGAAGCATTTCCACCATTGGATCCTGAACCAGGCAAGCATTGTTCCATGTGGTTCATCGGTCTGTCATTTGCTAAGAGTGAGAGTCTCAATATTGACCTCACATATGATATCAAATCTTTTGTTGAAACAAGTAAGTTTGATTATATAAATTATATGTAAATGTAGAAAAAAATATATATTAATCACACATATTTATTGCAGTTGAGAGGCAAGCAGAACAAATAAGTATGTTAAAGGAAGGAATGTGGATTGAGGCCAAACATGTAAAACGGAAGGACTTGCATACTTATGTATCTTCAAGTTTGGTGAAGAGAGAAAGAAAGGTAAGAGAAAGTATATTATACTTGAATTTTGTCATCATTGAGTATTAACTAAACTCTTATAATGTGATCTATTCTCACTATATAATGTTAATCTGTGTAATCTGTTCTCATAATGACACTATAATTTAATCATGCTCGCTATAATTTTTACAGGTTTCTGGTGGGGTGCATCGGAACGGCAATATCGCTGGAAATGGAAACAGTGGAAGTATATCGCCACGAAGCCAAGGTGATCCAAGCAGAAAGAGATTATCAGATCAGCTTGATTCGTGTGGAAAGAAACGGAGAGTCAATGACACAGAAGAACAAGTACATACTGCACATGTACATACTGCACATCGCAGAAGCACTTTTCAGGAAAAATTCTTTGAATGTGCTAATTCCCTTTTTTGTAGATAGAGAATGCGTCGCTAGTGGTTCAGTCATGCGGAGAAGACAGTAATTCTGGCTTGAGCATGGATGAATACAAACAGAATGTATCAACTACTAAGGATGTAAGGAATTATACATATAATGAACAATAATCAATCTCTTCAAAAATACAGGAAACAATTAGATAATTATGTAGGAATATGAAGGAATATAGTAAGTGAAAAATTCAAATTTATCATCAAGTATTTCTATTTTCCCACATCTCACCAGGCAAAGGTAAAAATGAATAGACGCATGATAATATGTAACAATCTTAATTGTTTGCTTTTTTTTTATTTTTTTCGTCAATAAAATATATCTGCCAATATATTTTCTTCTTGTTTTTGTCGTATGCAAAATCTTAGAAATATTAAAAATATAAACGTCTTGTGTCACACTAACATTTTAAAATTATATATAAAAAAAATCGCGCAGAACGAACATTAATGTTAAGTAGCTTCTTATTTCTTGTTTCTAATAGAAACAATTACACTTGCGAATGGGAGTCCCGACGAACGGAAATGCGTTAAAGTTTCCAACATTTTATTAACAATTAATAATAGTATCCTTCTGATACATAATTGTTATAGGAAGGACCTACTGGAGCATCTACAGTAGCACAAGAGGGATTTGTATGCACTTGATGACCACTGCGGGATTATCTTACGCCAATCCACAGATGCTCCTCTGGGCCATCTAGACTGTAAACGTTTCTTACGCAACCATCCACTGCCCACTGTAAGTCCTTCATTTCGTAAAAGCAAAACAATGTCACGTAATGGAGGAAGCTATCCAGGTGGAGTCAATCGATAAACGACTGTTAACATGTTTGTGTAACAAACGCTATAATTAATAGTATTTATAAAAGAAAAAAAAACATCGACACAGTCAATGGGAACAATTACGCCGAATGTTTACGCGATTGTGCCAGTGTCTGTGATGTTACTTATATCACTGGAGATATTTCGGATAAGTCTGACACGTAATCGAAGGAACCTCACCGTGAGAGTTAAATCTATTATCGCGCTTGGAAACAAATTAGTAATCATACTTTTTATATTTCCTTTTTGTATATATTGATTACATTACTCTTTTTTATTGATAAATACTTGAACAAGAAACTTAAGATTTGATAATACCTGATGTAACATAATTTTACATAATTTACATGACGGACAGAAATGGTTTGAGAAAATTACATGTACGGGAATTTTCGTATTCACGGATGTTTCACGCATGTTGGAAAAAAAGAAAAAAAAAAAGAAAATACGAAAAATAGAATATATTCTTATAATAAAGTGCATTTTTGTAATGCACAGTGGAATATGCTTTAAAAATGCATATGTGTATCGTTTAGTTATATAAGTAGTTGATATATACTTTATTAACATTAACAAATCACACGCGTCGTGATCTGTCTCCTTTAGGGACTTACAAGCAGTACCGGTAGCGTTAGCGTTTCAATACGCTTTACTGTTTGTACTAAATATAAACTTTATCATTTACGCGATACTTAATACTATTACTATCATTAAGTAAGGATTAGATATTCCAATGCAAATCGGGAAATTAAGTATTTCACGAAGCTCGCCATTCATAAAGAAAGAAATGCTATAAAATGGTTTGCTTGAAATGCGTGCAAAAATTGTAATGCAAGCGCCCATTACAATTTTTACGACAAGAATCACCGACACTGGCATAAATCTGAAGATGTTTCATTTGTAGAGTACGTACCGTAGATATAATATTTGTTTGAAAAAAAAAAAAGTAAGAGAAGGACTCGCAAATGAAACATCGCGAAGCCATTGACTATCTTGTTGATGATTACGTTGCGTGAAATACACATTTTCGTGCAAAGCCGTCTTTTAGTTTATGTTTTTTTTTTTCGCTTAGAAAACAAAAGGAGCTTTAACGAATTAGAAACAGACTGGCAATTGGTCGATTGGGTGATTCACTTGTCGCCTACTGCTGAGTTTTTTCAGATTTATTTGACTCGCCTTTGCGCTCCCAATCTCAAACGGCTCTGATATTCTCAGTCCCGATCACCTTTCCTGATTACACAGTTTCGATTCATGTGTTAAAGGCATGTCCACTATCGTACGCTACAAGGTATTTGATGTTCATTCTTTGTGGTATTTACGAAACTCGTGAATACCGCACTGTGTTTTGCAGAAATCAGGTACTTGCAGAGTGACAACTTGGCCAAGTTGAAGATTTGAAGATACAATTTGAGAAATTAATACGAGAAAAAAAATGAGAATAAAATACTATCTCCATTTCGCACAGAATCAGCATCGTTAACAGTAGCAACTCGATTATTATAATCTTGGGATTTTTATAATAATACAATACAATGGAATTATGATTATTATAAATGTAATATTAAATATATAATTAATATATTTTACAGTTGATGTTTATGTACAATATGAAAAAAGTCTCGATTGTATCACACTTTGCAAGTGCTTACGATTTCATGTACAGTGATTAGGAGAACCATTCCGTTACTTGTATATACTCGTAAATGTGCTGAGATGATAAGTTCCACTCTTTCAGGGTCTATCTCGTCGAGTCACTTTATTTATTGATCGAAGATGTATACACGTTTTCCCACCAGTTAAAAGAACAGTAATAGTGCCGTTTTATTTCGTCGCTCTCCTCACGCAATCTTCACGTTCGAATCTCAAATTTAAGTATGTTACGGTACCGTGCACAGTACGCATGTTGATGATGATTAACGTGACGTATCACGAGTAACGTAACGCACGTCATCCTTTTAGATAACTATTTCTAGAATGAATTCATGATTGTACACTAATGCATCTCCAATCGAATTTATTGTTAGTATTATCGCACGATGTACCGTGGATTTATTTTGCAATACGATTGGTCCCAGACAGCATACGTGTCCAAAAGACATCTAAAAGATGACCTAAAGACGTCTTAAAGTCCTTTAGACATTTTTAAGACATCTTTTGGCCTTTTCGTGCTGTCTGGGGTATCACAATCGTCCTCCCATGTAGATTCCATGTAGGCAAGAATATTTCTCTGTATAGATATTTTTATTCTAAGTAGTCATTCGCACATATCCGATTGACGATTATTTTGATTCGCGCGCAGATAAAATCGGATCGATCGGTGCGAGAATGAGAGATTAATTTCGTTCCATTAACAGATGGTGTGTGTATTATTGCAGTCGCTTTCATTTGTTTCTTCATTGCTATATAAATATCGCGTAAAAATTTTCCAACTTCTTCAATTGCAGAATCTTCTTCCAAACTCAAATCTCAGGCGAAAGATTAAACTTTTTAATTTTCCTATCAAATACATAATATGCGATTGGTATATAATTATTTATGGGATTGAAAATGTCATTCGTTATATTTTTCCATATAAATATTCTGTCTATTGTCCATACAAATATTCTGTCTATTTTTCATATGATGATTCACATATGATCATTTCCTCTGAACATAATAATTTTCAACTTGTCAAGAATAGTATGAGGCTTGTTTTTTTCATCAAAAAATTTAGCACTTTTTGCAAATAAAAATATTTCTAATTTTACGTTCTTAAATTTCTCGCCTGTTCTTGGTAGAAGATCCAGAATGTGTTCTTCATATACGAACCTCAAATAAAAGATTTCGATATTATTGTCAATCTCGCGTGTGCAAATATACAGTTCTTCTAATTTATATGATTGATATATATTTGACTTGGAAAAAAACGAATCCTCCGTCATTGCCTTCTAGACATTTATCTATTAGACATTTATCCATTTTGACACGAAACTGAACTGTATATACGTACGTACATAACCGGAACTAACAAAAGTTTAATTTGTTTAAAGTTGCACATAACATGTACACTGAGAAAAAAAATTATTAACTTGACTAAATCGTTCAACCAAATTATTATCTTTTAATTCAAACATTACACGTATTTGATATAATTGAAATATTATAAGTGTAAATTGTGTAATAATAATTATATAATTATATATATATATATATATATATATATATATACATATATATATATATATATATATATATATATATATATATATATATTATATTAAAAAAATTATATAATAATAATTATATATATAATTACATAATATATATATAAACTTTATATATAATTATTTAAATTAAATATAACATATTAAATATAGCATGATGTCAATTTAACTTAAATATTTCAATTTAAAAAATAATTTTAGTTGAACGATTTAGTCAAATTAACGATTTTTTTCTCAGTGTACGCTTTTTTAATATATAACGATTAACTTCTGCGAAGCATATTAATCACGGTGCAATATGTTATTATTTTTTTTTTTTTTTTTTTTTTGTAAAAATGTAGTCATTTTAGTTAGTTAGAAAATTTTTTTATGCAAATTTACATTTTCAGTAACGTTATGCGATAAAATTGTGCGACATCTTATTAAATGTTGGCGAATTACATGAGTATCGAGAATTTCATGATGACTAAGCGTAGAAATCTATCGAATTTTCTACACAAACAGATTTGATAGTTTCTCAAGTTTTTCGAAATGACCGAGTTTTCTTAAATTATTTCGTCTGAACTCTTATGTTGCCGCATTCAGTCACTACGATCATTATTATTATTAGTGTATTATCTAATCGTTATTATTGTCACGTACTTCACAGTTAATCTTCACCAGCATAGAAAACACAGGACTCACTCTTTAATAATGTTCAATTTTGCACGATTCAGAGCAAGTGACACATTTGAAAATGATACAAATCTTGCGACATTTGGATCCGCCAACAGAGATTGCCATGTTCAATGGGAATGGATCCCAATTTCCTTTGCTATCGACCTCTATTGTACTAATTCCCCCCTATAAAGTATTATAGCTCTGAATATGTTGTCTGAAACTCACTAACTAGTCGTCCATATATTTCCAAAGTTAATGATCATTGTCTTAAATTCCAAGGTTCACGGAGATCGTACATTGCACAATTTAAGAATTGCGCTATAAGACACGCATCGTTGTTATTGCAGTCATTAGAAAAGAAAATGGAGTACCATGGCCAAGAGTCGCGAGTAGTGAACATCAATGTCATCCTTGTACGCCATCTTGTCGCTCTTTTATCGCTGTCACGCTGTCCAATTCGCACCTCTTCCTTTTTTTTTCTCTCTCTTTCTTTCTCTTGGGAATAGCTAGACATGTCTGTAGCACATTCTCCATTCCCATCTTAGCCTCTCCCTCTCCTGAAAACCACCATCGTTGATCAACGTGGGCATCTTGCAATTTCGATAATAGGGCAAGGGGATAACAGGGAAGGGAAACGCGATCTTTCTCTCACAACCCGCAATTTTATCTTTTATTATTATGTGGAAAAAAAGAAGGAGAGAGGAAACACACGTGAAGACGTGAGACAGAAATGCGGGAAATGCAGGCTGAAGGAAAAACAGGCGCGCAGATTTGTGCGCGAAGTCAGTGCAGGCTATCGAAATGTTGTAGAGGAAAAATGCGTTCTCGAAAATTATTCGAAATTTTTCTCACAGAAATTTTCGCGAGATTTTTACGCCGTGTCAGCATCCACGATTTTCTCGGAGCGAAAGAAAGAGGGTGCGAAACTTATTATTTGCGTGAGATCCGTGCGTATCGTGAATGCTGGACGCATTATGTGCACGCGTAAGATCTGCCGCCGCGCATCCGCAATTGGCAATAGCACGAAAGATTACAAGAATACACAATAATTTGTATCCTCGATCATTGTACACTCTCTGTATCCTTCCTGAATAAACGGAAATAAATTTTTCTTTCAACTCCTGCAGCCAAAAAATTGGAACGCGCTTGCCGGTCGCGTCAAGACGAAACGATGATTCAGGGATTACCTTCGGATGTGATATCGATGAATTGTCTTTGATTATATGTGCGATCGTCTCGTCTTGCCGCCATCGACAGATTGTTTTTTTCAGTATCCTGTCTATCATTCATTTACGATTCAATTATTATTATTAACCTTCTGATATTTCATTGATATTTTTTTCATTTGATTGACAATCTTAGTCATTTTAGCTGTCAATCATCAATTATTGTCAAGCGAGTTATGGTAAGTATAAATTTCTATATAATTTTCCATGACATTTATCACGCGATAAATACAATTATACATATATAAAATTAATTTTTGCAATATAATTTAAATAATTAATATAATTAAATTTAATTAACTGAATAAATCATAATTTAAGAAGATTTAAATAATAACATAAAGCTTATATGAATAAGCAAATATGGGAATAAAAATTGCTTTAAACTATACATATATAAAATTAGTTTTTGCAATATAATTTAAATAATTAATATAATTAAATTTAATTAATTGAGCAAATCAGATAATTTAAGAAGATTTAAATAATAACATAAAGCTTATATGAATAAGCAAATATGTAAATATAAACTGCTTTAAACGTGTATATAACGCTAAACAATATTTTTAAAAATAAAATACTTTTACTAGTATATATTTAAAAAAAATAATCATGTATTTCATGAATCTTCCAATATATGTCAGAATTCTTAATTTTTAATTCTTATATTTTAGTTTCAATCTGACCAGCTACACTATGATTGTTAAAATTAAGAGATATCTTAAAGACATTTTTAAAATACAATAAAAAGTTACAATAAAATTTTAATTATAACAGCTTATTTATAAATAAGTTAAATGAATCACGAATCGATCGTAAGATATTTATAATTATGCTATTGAAAACAAAAATATTATTTGCCGAATGTTTCTAATAAAAAGACAAAATTTTTCGTTCGTTAAATATAATCTTTTCAATCGAACAATACATGTAATTAAAAAACCTATTAAATTAGTAATTCATGAGTTTATAGAATAATATATCTAATTTAAAGTTGAGCTTTAAAATAAAATATATTGAATAATATTTTTTAGGGTGTATACTCCCTGGAGAAACAGAAAATTTCTGGATTCTTAGGAATTTCTTTTTTATATGAAGAAAAATTAGCAAATTCTCATAAAATTTTATTCAGTTCAGAGAATTGTATAAAACATTCTTTTTCTGATAATTTTACTTTTATATTATAAGCAATCAATTTAAATATATATTTCTATCTCTGTTCACATATATTTGATGTTTCAAAATATCGACGCAGTTGTATATTTGCATTCTTTATTGTAATTTTTAGTGATAAGAAAATGTGAAAATGTTATACAAGTGAAAAATATTTATTTTAAGAATGTTATTAATTTTTTTTTCTTAAAACATTTGCAAATCTAACATTTATAACTGTAGTAGCTTTGTATTCCTTATAAGTTGAAAATATAAGTTAGAAATATTTAAAAAATGCATCCAGTAAAAAAACTTATTTTAGAAAGTTATGCTAAAAAAATCTTCAAAATATTCTCTTTATCTGGAATTTTAGATAGAAATCAGGAAATTTTTTTACCAAATTTGAGTGTAGATATCCTTAATATAATTTGTATCATATTTTTTTAATTATATTAAAATCAAACTAAAATATATATATATATATATATATATATATATATATATATTTGTGTCATACATGAGATGTTTTAAACGTAAAGTTTCTTTAATGTTACGAAATTATAGTTATAAAAATGCCTCTTAAAAATTATTAATGATATGCATCGCACATTTTTTGTCGTAAAATAATTCCATTTGCAATCACATAATTTCTCATCAAATGAAATAAAATGTTAATCGATAAAAATTACTAATCTCGAAATTTACAAAGAAATTCCATCTCTTTTCAATCTCGTATAAAATCGACAAATGTTAGTAGAAAGTATACGTTTTCAAAAAATGACAGTTCTGATTGTTTAGACATTATCAGCATTTATGGATAAATATATAAGTGCGCAAAATGAAACGGAGAAATTGAAAGTATATGAAAGAGAAAAATTAAAGTACATATCAAAGTGCAAGGAGATTATTGTCTCGGAATAAAAAAGTAATCAAACTTTGCGCGAAGCGACTTTATCATATTTAATTGTTTTTCTCATTAATCCATAACTGCATATTTTCACGTTCTCGTGTATCGCGCGAAATTTCACCAGCAGTACAAAACGTGAATCAAGCATGGGAATAATTCTCAACAATGCAAATGCAGGTAAATCTGCATGTCTTATGTTGCATTACATCGTATTTTAGATACACAGCTTTAGTAAATATTTGCGATGTATCTTTCTCAATTAAACTTTGAGTGAGAAAGTATATTATTCCTCGAGTGTATAATGTAGCTCACATCTCTATCTCTAAAATCTCTATTTTTTCGCAGAGACTAGTATAATTTAATATTAAATATTATACATAATCGAAAAAAAATTGTAAAGTGTCAACTAGCCTTTAGAGTTTAATTATTCGAAAACAAAAGAATCTTGATCGCTTATTTAAATTTAAAATTATTTTTTTATTTCATGGCAATAATTTTACAGAATATAATAATTTTTTAATTATTATAATATTATATATATATATATATATATATATTATACACTTTGCAAAATTTTACAGTGTGACATACAAATAATACATCAAGATGTTGCGTAGATCATGTAGAAATAAAAAAGATAAAAAAATTTGTAGCATTTATAATAAATTTCACTTATACATGCATTTCTATTTAATGATGAGCAAGAGAGGCGATTGGTGGGAAGACCCACCTAACCAATTTTTTTATTCAAAAACAAAAGGATCTTGATCGCTTATTTAAATTTAAAATTATTTTTTATTTCATGGCAATAATTTTACAGTGAATATAATAATTTTTTAATTAATATTATATATATATTATACACTTTGCAAAATTTTACAGTGTGACATACAAATAATACATCAAGATGTTGCGTAGATCATGTAGAAGTAAAAAAGATAAAAAAATTTGTAGCATTTATAATAAATTTCACTTATACATGCATTTCTATTTAATGATGAGCAAGAGAGGCGATTGGTGGGAAGACCCACCTAACCAATTTTTTTATTCAAAAACAAAAGGATCTTGATCGCTTATTTAAATTTAAAATTATTTTTTATTTCATGGCAATAATTTTACAGTGAATATAATAATTTTTTAATTAATATTATATATATATTATACACTTTGCAAAATTTTACAGTGTGACATACAAATAATACATCAAGATGTTGCGTAGATCATGTAGAAGTAAAAAAGATAAAAAAATGTGTAGCATTTATAATAAATTTCACTTATACATGCATTCCTATTTAATGATGAGCAAGAGAGGCGATTGGTGGGAAGACCGAAAGAAATGCATACAAAGAAAAGCTCCTCCGGAATGGACGAAGAGCGCGTGTGCAATGTATTGGAGCTTACAGCACGAGCAGTTGGAGTGCAACTAGTGTCATGCAGTTAGTATCCCGAGTGTTAACTAAGTGTGAAAACATAGTAACTCGAGTAAAAAAATTCTCTCGATTTTCTCTCTCTCTCTCTTTCCTTTTAAATTTCAAGATTGTAATCATTTTTAAGATATTACGTGCAATCGAACTCTATAAGAAAACGCGAAAAAAAATTATTCAAACATTATGAGATATAAACACATCAGTCTCGTCGGTGCATCACTAATTACGGCGCTCTGCGTACTTTCTGGACTCATGTACTACTTCAATCAAGGTATGATTGATTAGCTGGATAATGCGTTGTCTTAAGCGGATTATTACTTTTGTTTCAATCAATTTTAATATCATCGAGAATAAGTGCATTCTCACCGTAACACTTATCCCGGCGAAATATTGCAAACCAGGTTTAATGAATTATAAACGACGAGCATGACATTTTTTTACTAAAAATTTAATTTATAAACACAGAATTTTTGAAAATTAAATAAATCATTGTCAGTAATCCCAATTAAAGCACTTGAAGGTGTGATAGAAATTTTGTACCTTTTTTTTATTTGAAAAAAATTCTCGTCAACTTTGAAGATATTGTATCGCATTCGAAAGAAGGCTTATTATGTTTGTTTAAAGTGTGGAAAATCAAAAGAAAGAACTACCTGTGTTTTCTTTATCAAAAATCCTTATTTATCAATTATTTATCATCATTAAACTTTTTTAATTTCATTTTTTTATGATCATTATTCACAATTATTTAGTTGTAGAGTTATTTATGATCATTAAACACAATTTTTTTCGGAATATATTCTTTACACGATAGTATATGAATGCAAATTACTCAGTGACTATTTTTTATGCCTTAGCACGTATGCATCGTTTTTACAAGATAAAAATGCGTCCTTCAAGCTATGATACAGTACTATTAGATTATTACGCAGCTTCCACAAGATGAAAATAGGAGACATGTTGCGGTGTGTTGTTGACAATCGCTACGTCTAAATCTTCGGAAATAATAATTCTCTCAACTTCACAGTTTAACACGAAATTGCGATAAAAAGTCTATACACAATAAAGAATTGTGCATTCATATGTTAAAATTTTCTCCTGTTACCTATGTTTTGATTAGTACTTTAATGTAAAATTAACATACAATCTGTATGTTATTATTTTTATAACGTTTTCATCTGTTACATTTATGTCAATATTCATAACTTGACACTTTGTATGTGTCTCTTAGAAGTAGAATATTATTTTGAGTATTTTTAACATAATCATTTTAAACAATCAACATGTCTCAAAGTAAGTTTAACATTCTAAGAAAAGTTCAAGTAAGTCTTCAAATAATCTTGAACTTTAACATACAAAAATAATCAAATTTACTAAAATCAAATATTTCTATTACAAATAATTCAAGTCAAAATAATTACTATTATATGTTAATGTCCTCAACATTTCTTACGAATTATTGTAACTATTTTTTTCCTGTAATTTTTGATTAATTTGTATGTTATTTTTACATTACACTTAAAGTCACAATAACAAAAATAAATGTAAAGCATCGTGTTAATTATTTAACATTTTTAGTTTATCAATAAGTAGCATACGACGAATGAGTTATTTTAACTTAAAATTTAGAGTGGACTTTCTGGGACATGTGAAAAATGTTATAATTAACATTTTATTTCTTACTGTGTATTCTGATATATTTCCTGTGCGTTTTAGACAAGTGTCCTGTCGGTACGTTCCTGTGTCATAAAAGCACCATATGTATGCCGCAACGTAGCTGGTGCAATGGTGTATCGGATTGTCCGTATGGCGACGATGAATCCACGGAAAATTGCTGTGTGTTTTTCAGATCTTAATATTAATACGATAATCACATCTTTCTCCAGACTCATATATTTCAATTGTTATTCGAACTTAAAATTATTTAATTAACGGCTATAAGTACGTAAATTTTTTTACGCTATAGCAAACAAAGTCGATTATTTTTATAAAAATTATATTAATCGTTACTTCAGAATCTGTTGTATAATTAATAAATTTCGAAGCGACAAGTTAAGCATCAAGAGAGCTCATTTTTTTAAATTTTTATCTTAATTATATTTGAAGAGGGAAAAAATTATCCTGATTTCTAGATTTCCAAAGATAGTTTCGCTCTTTTAATCGATAAATTTGCTGCGCAGTTGACATGCACGGAACTTGGGATTGGTTTATGAAAGACAGAGACTGGGGAAACTCGATGGATTGCGGTAACATCATAAAATAAGATACTTAACGCAATAGATGTTCAACGCTTGCACTTCTCAAAAAGTTACATATTCTTTACTACAGATGCATTTGAGGACGCGCTAGTTGATGACAGATGCATCTACGATGCATGTCGTGTGACTTGTATGAATTATACCGAGATGCCTCAGAACTTGTCATCGAATGTCACAGCGATGTACGCTTTGCAGAAAAAATATTCACGCTTCTTGCAAAATATATAATATTTTCACATAATGAAAGATATATTAATCCCAATCGCGCAAAATAATTGATTTATTTAATTTATAGAATTTATAGATTTATAGAATTTATAGATTTATAGAATTATAGAGTGGATTTATATTTATTAAATTAAATTAAATTGATATTTTTGTCAATAATTATTAATCAATTATTAGTTATTAATAATGTCGATTTTCTGTAGTTTCTTAACTGAAAATTCACTCACGCATTTGCCTCGCAACGCTTTATCGAGATATCCAGAGATACGCTTATTGTAAGTCATCAAAATTCAACAAAACCCTTATGAATTTCTCCTAAAATCTTATATAGTCTTCTACAATTACAGATATCTCGATAATAATGATATAGTCGAGTTGGAAACAGGAGCATTTCTCCATCAAACTGAATTGTTCTGGTTGTGAGTACAGTTAAGAAGTTAAAAATATTTCATAACGATTATTATATAAGACATTGATATATGCAACAAAATTCGTTTGTACAGAGTTCTTACGAATAATCGAATCAAGGAAATATTACCTGGACATTTAATGGGACTAAATAAATTGGAAACCCTGAGGCTGGATCAAAATAGAATTGTGACGGCAAATTTTTCTGATTTGGAAAACAGCACCACTGTGTACTTGATGTATAAACACTGTCACAATACAAGGCTGTCGTACTAAATTATTTGAAAAATATAATACAATTTATAATTATAAGTTTTTTAATCTATTTTCATGATTTATTGCGAAATAAAGATTTGCATGTTTTCTAAAGATCTGTAAAATATTTTTTTTTCATTTATAATAGCTTTATATTTATTTAACGTTATTATTTTTAAAAATTATCTCATATTCTACTTATTTGTATCGCTTTTCCCGAAGATATGATTCATAAAAAATGAAGAAGTAGAAAAAACAGATTATTATAATTTCCGAATAATTTAATTCACTTTACGATAACCAATGATAAAAGTACGTTTATTATTTATTATGGGTCAGTGTCATTTAAAAGTCGTTTAAAAAAATATAGAATCATTTGGATTTTATTATTCTTTGCGATGTAGACGGTAATTTATACGAGATAATTTAATTTATAACGATAATTTCATGATGTAGACGGTAATTTATACGAAAATGATTAATATGCAAATCCTTTATCGCAATCGGATCAAAATAAATTGATGTAAAATTATAGTTAATTATCAGGACTTTATCAGTATATTGCTTCATTTAAAAAGAATTATTTTTTCACACATATGTATCGCATATAATACTCTTTTTAATTCACAAAAATTAAACTGTCTATAGTAACTGACGTACTTTTTTAGAAACAGAATTATGTCATTTATATTCACTAATTTTTATTTATAATATTAATATATTAATCTATTTCTTTTATTTACAAATAGAAATTTGAGTAAGAACATGTTAATGGAATTTACCCTGAAACTATCACAATTGCCGACATTGACGGAAATGTAAGTTAATATATACAATTTATTAAAGAGTGCAGTCTATTCTAGTAATATGAACAATTAATGATTTTTATCAATTTTTTTATTAAAATTTTAGAAATTGATTTTTTGGAATTTTTATTAAGATATTTAAAACTTTTAAATCTTAAATATTTAGTTTTTCTTTATTCAGTATAAGCATTTACGTGTAATGTATTCAAAAAAGACGGTGCAACATGCTATTCCTATAATTGTTTGAAATAAAAAATCTTTAGTTTTATTCTATAAAATATCTTTGGGATACTAAATCTAATTAAAATTTTAAAAATTAATATTTAATATTTTTTTTCTGATTCTTATAAAATGAAAAGAAATTCCAACAAAGTTGATATATCTTTTAATTTTAATTTTAATTTTAATTTTAATTTTATTTTTAATTTTAAAATGCCACTTTGTTATTTTCCAATTTTTTAAAAATGAAATTAAATTAAATTCATTAGTACCCTAAAAATAGTAAAAATAGTATCCTAGAATAGAATACGCTTCATAGAGGTTTATATTGAAGAAAAAGAAATATTTAAGATTTAAAAATACTGAAGTGTTTAAGCACCAATAGAAACACATGTAAAAACATCAGAAGATTAATTTCTAATATTTAAAAAGATTTCTAAAAAAATCATGAATTTTTCAAACTAGAATGCTAGAATAGACTACTTCTTACACAGAAAAAAAGGACATTCTTGTTTTGAAAATATATTTAGTTTTAACATCGAAATTTTGAAATGAAATTTTATTACGTTAATTAAAGAAAAATATAATTGCTTGAATAATTATTTACTTAAATGAAGTTATTTTATATAGTCCAATCAAGAAAAATATATTCTTATGATTTAAGATTTAAGTTTCTTGAATGGAAAAGAAACAATGTTAGATAGAAAATAACATTTTTAAATCAAAGATTATAATTTTCTTAAAGTAGAATTAAATAATTATATATTCTTGAGGTGACAATTACAATATTAAAATAAAACTATAAAATTGTTGAAATTTAAAATTATTAAATTCTTCTAAGAAGATTATAAATTGTTGCGTATATACGAAACAATGAACGCGTTAATTTAAGTAAATAAGTTTTGATTTGACACTTATTTTTTTCTGTGTAAAGAGAAAGAAAGAGGAAATCCGAAGAAACATGCACACGTGCACAATCGATTTTTCAAAGTTGCGTTTTAGAATATTGGATGGAAATCGCTTCGAGTCGATAACGGAAGATTTATTCGCCGGATGCCCCGCTTTGAAATCACTGTACGTACGTAAGTAGATTACGGAGAAGCGATTACTGTCATTCTTAATAAGATCCATGCGAACTAACGGCGCAACGATGATTCAGGAGTATGGAGGACAATAGCATAAGGAACATTGATGTGAACGCGTTCCGAAATTTGCAGCAACTTGTCGAGCTGTAAGTGCATAAATGTTAATGCGACTCGATTTCTCAAGTTAACGGGATCCAGCGGTTAGGGATTATCGTAACCATGGGCTATCGCGATAAAATGCATCGCATCGCTTCGAATATTGATGCAATATTATTACGTCGCGCATGATCGATTTCCGTTTAAAAGTACCTACTCTTCCTGTCTCATTTTCCGACATTATTCATTATATCAAGCGCGATATAAGTATAATCAAGTGCAAATTTTTTCAATCGGTATGTCTACGTAAGATTCCGACACACAATCTCTATTCAAGACTTCACTGAGAAAAAAATCTGATTGCATTAATTAGAATTCTGGTAGATTCAACCAGTATGTTTGTTGGAAAATGGACGAACCAGAATTCTTGTAGAAATTACCAGATAAATCTGATTAATTTCTTCCTGTTAAATTTACCAAATTTTCTGGTTAATAATACTAAACTCCTCAGCACCAAGTCGTCTAAAATTTTTTTTATCTAATCTCAAAAGTCTGTTTAATGTTTTGAATTCCAATAAAATTATTGGATAAATTCAATTCAGATTATTGAATAAATTTAAAGTTCATTTTAAGTTAATTTTAAGTTCAGTTTGTTAGAAATAAAACTGATAAACAGTGCACTGAGAAAAAATCTGATTGCATTAATTAGAATTCTGTTAGATTCAACCAGTATGTTTGTTAGAAAATGGGCGAACCAGAATTCTTGTAGAAATTACCAGATGAATCTGAATAATTTCTTTCTGTTAAATTTACCAAATTTTCTGGTTAATAATACTAAACTCCCCAGCACCAAGTCGTCTAAAATTTTTTCTGTCTAATCTCAAAAGTCTGTTTAATATTTTGAATTCCAACAAAATTATTGGATAAATCAATTCAGATTATTGAATAAATTATTTTAAATTCAGTTTGTTAGAAATTATACTGATAAACAGTGATGCAAGAAGAGGATGCAACTCAAACACACACAATCAGAAAGCCAGCGTCCTTTTTCTGGCACTACTGCTCGTAAGAGAAAAAAAATATACTTTGGATTTAACGTTAATACTAGTTTTTTATATACATTTCATGGAAAATATTGAATACGAGTTAAATTAAGAGTGGCAAGCAAAGAAATTAATGTAACAAGAAATTTTATAGATCCAACCAGAAAATACTAACCAAATCCTTATAGTAAAATCTATTAAACGTTCTAGTTATAAAAAATCGAGTCTTATCATGATAACTAGAAATTCTTGTTTGATTTAATTAAAATGCCTTCAATCATATATGTCTTGTTGGTACAATCAAACGATTTTTCTCAGTGTTCGCTATTAAAATTGGCAGTTAAAAACTAAAAGTTTACACAGAGAAAAATGTATACTGTAATCAAGTAAATATTATTTATTTTAAGTGTATCATAAATTTGTATATGCGCAAATATATCATAAGTTTATCACAAGCATTAAATTTAATTGAATATATTCTGAATTTTAGTAAATGCAATATTTTAGTAAATAAGAATATTAAATTAAAACAAAAATTTGGTTTGCTTACTACAAGAATTGACGTAAAGTAAGTTTGATTTTTTTTTTTAAACAATTTTACAATATTCTTAAAGAGAAAATAAATTCTTCTTTTGAGTACATGATAATGATAATAAGATTTTCTAACACTTGTGATAAGTATATTTTAAGATTATTATCAAGAATATATTCTTTGTTGAAAAAAGCTATTACTTAAAAAAAGAAAAATAAATTGAGTAATCGCTCTTCTTGGCAGTAGAATGATATTTTTCTCTGTATACCTCACATGCAATTAATTGTGAGTTGCGCCGTATCTAATAAATTGGCTGCAAAGTAGAAATTGGAAACTGGAAGTTCACTTCAAACGCAATTAATTTCAAACTGCACACCGCGGCTAATGAATCGATCGCAAATAGTCTCCATCAGAGATCGAACGCGGTTAAAATGCTGCTTCTTGTTTCAGTAACCTGGCCTACAACAGGATAGTCGCGATACCGTCCGACGTATTCCAGCCTGTAAATAATCTGTCGAAGCTGTAAGTGCAAATGTCCGTGTAACGTGTACAATTCGCGCGATAATCAGCCTCACCGCTAAATTCCCGAGCTACACACATACGTGCTTGAGATCCATTCGCTAGTACTTACCTGTAAAAGTCTATTTGCGAGAGTAAACTACGGAAACATCACGTACGTGCTCGTGCAACCGGTTTTTGATTACAATTTAAGCTTGCACGCCTGTAAACCAGAATTCATTTGCAAAAAATAAAACACGTTGCTCTAGCAAACATAATTTCTGCTCTCTCTCTCTCATTCTGACATAATCTCTCGTCTTTTCAGATTAATCGGCTACAATCCCATCGTCGAGTTACCAATGACGCTCTTTAATCCGCTGAACAATCTTCGCTCTCTGTAAGTTGCATCTTTTTCGCAAAGATAATGTAGTTTTGTATAAAATGTTTGCCTTATGTATTATATTGATATGATAATATAAAATGAATCAAATAATTAATTCCTTTTACTTCGGGACTTTGAATTTCAGAGGAGTTGAGGATATAAACATGGACAATATGGAAAAGAACGCATTCGACATGTTTTCAAATCTCGATTTCGTGTACGTCCTTATTATGTTTATTTAATGCAATGATTATTTTAAATAACAAACATAAAACTAAAGTGAAAATTATTTAAAAAATAACAGAAAATTCGTGTTTTATATAAAGCATTATTTTCATTAAATCTTTATATTAAATTATATTAAATAATTAAATATAGAGTATCCCATTTTATTTTTGTTAGTCAAATATCTCGATATTACTTAGAGTTAGAAAAAAATGTTTCAGACAAAAGCTTTATGGCTTGAAGAAGGCCGAATTGTAAAGCTTGAAATCATTTCTTTTACATAAACATTTTACATAAACAATAAAATATCGTGTAAAATATTCATTTTTCGATTATCTTACCTTAATACTTTTATGTACAAAATAATGAGAGAAATCAATTGGTGTAAAAAAAACACATAGGTGTTTCGAAGAAAAAATATATATATATATTGAAATAATAAATATATAAAAATATATTGTAATTAACAATTACATATTTTTTTTTAACAAATATTTTTTTCTTTACACTAATTGATTCCTTTTATTATTTTGTACATAAAAATATTAAAATAAGATAATCGAAAAATGAATATTTTACAAGATATTTTACGATTTATGTAAAATTAAGAAATGATTTCAAGCCTTATAACTCAAAAAGTACTTGAAGGAAAAATATTTTATTATAGTGTTTTGGAAAGCTCTTGAGATAAGCTACAAGAATATGTAATAAAAAATAGCGAGTTCCATTTAAAAAATTGAAGGTGATTCACGTGACCTTCAAGTAACTATTCCAGGTCAAATTAATGGACGTCTTATGGCCTCTTTCAAACTATACAACTTTTGTTGGAAACATTTTTTTCTAACTCTAAGTAATATCGAGATATTTGACTGTCAATAATAAAATGGGACACCCTGTATATTAAATATTTATACTAAATATTTATTTTATTACATAATATTTATATTACATAATTATATGATAGATTTAAAGAAAGTTTAGCTGATATTTATGAATATATGTATGATTCTTTTTGTAACGAATCTAAATAAATTAATAGCAATTCTCTCATTTATATATATATATATATATATATATATATATATATATATATATCATCAATGTTTGATACAGAACTCAATCATGATTCTAAATTAATCTCAAATTTTGCAGATATTTTAAAAAATTCCACTACTGCATGACCTACGCACCAAAGGTACAAAAATGCAGACCCATTAGCGATGGTAAGATATAAAAAGTTTTTGAATTATGGCAACGATTAATTAATTCGACACTTAATCATATGCAACAAAACGTCAAAAAATGTAATGTAACGTAACGTGTCTCTTTTCTTTCTTTCTTTTTCTTTCAAGGTGTGTCATCGACGTCTCACTTGCTGAGCAAGTCTCTATTAAGAACTGCTGTTTGGAGCATATCTTGCGTCACTTGTCTCGGTAATAGCCTTGTTCTGTGGGGAAGATTCACCGCCAAGGATGAAAACCGCGTTTTAAGTATTGTCATCAGAAATCTTGCAGGTAATTGTGCAAACGTGTTTCTAGACATCTTCGAAATTTGAGGAAGAGAAAGGATTTTTTTAAACATAAAGAGAGAATAATTTCTCAATCTTGACATCTCTTAGTTCCGACTGTTGATTGTGTTTTCGACGATACACGTATGCTTCGAGTTCACTGAAATGTTTGTAAAAATCTGAAAATTAGACAGAAGAGCTGCTCTTTAGATATCACCAACCGTTATACAGAAGAAATTACGGCGTAAATAATCCCTATTCAAATGACTCGCGGTGAATTCGTGCCGAATCACGAAGTGCACGCGCGAATTATCATCGTTGCGGTTAACAACAAAGCCCAACATTATGATCGATCGAGCATATTAATGTTGGGTTCATCATAAATCACGAGGCAGTACAGTCACATAATCCTTTTACAGTGTCCGACATGTTGATGGGAATATATCTCTTCATAATCGCCATAAAGGACGCGAAGTTCCGCGATAACTACCAACAGGAGGCGAGTACGTGGATGTCCTCGTGGTCCTGCACGCTTCTGGGAGCTTTGGCGATGATGTCATCCGAGGTATGTGCATTAGCGCTAAATCGTACAATTTTCAATTTGCAACATACAATTTGCTATTTAACGGTACTAATGTAATAGAGTTGCACAAGACCCAAGACAAGACAATATTCGTAAAAATATTGTATTGGTATTGAAAATTTTCAAAAATTTAAATCTTGTCTTGGTCTTGAGTGAATATTAGCAACAATCTCGTCTTGTATTGTCTTGTCTCGATTTTATTAACAATTTTTTATCTAATATTAAAAAATTATTTAAATAATATTTAACATAATTTTTGTAATATAATTTGAAATAATTATTACCATTGTATTATATTTTAATTTTAATTATTACTATGTAATCGATATAAATGCCGTCTATTTACATAAAAAAACATTTATTTATTTCATGGAAAACAGAAATTAATAACTATTTACAGGGGGGGGGGGGCTCCAAGGGAATCTCGTCTCGTATTGTCTTGTCTCGATTTTATTAACAATTTTTTATCTAATATTAAAAAATTATTTAAATAATATTTAACATAATTTTTGTAATATAATTTGAAATAATTATTACTATTGTATTATATTTTAATTATAATTATTACTATGTAATCGATATAAATGCCGTCTATTTACATAAAAAAACATTTATTTATTTCATGGAAAACAGAAATTAATAACTATTTACAGGCTCCAAGGGAATGTGCAGATATAAATATTTTGGAGTGGTAAAAAAATCAGGTTCATATTTATCCCACATTGTCAAAAATGGCTCGAGACATTTCACTGTCTCGTCCGTGCCAGTAGAACGACTTTTCTCAATAGAAACTCTGATTATGTAAAAAAATAGAACCAGATTACAAAGTAAATTTTTAAAAGCACTAATGTGCATCAATTCCTGGGTGAAATATTCTTTAATGTCTAAAATTTGCGAGTTTGATTTCTAATTTACAAAAATGTTATCGTATTAATATTAAATGTTTTTAAACTTATCAATATAAATGTTTTTATTGAATAAAATTTTTTTAAATTCGTATATAGTGATTTTTTTTCATTTACAAATATAAATATTTTAGTTTTTCTGAGAACCAATAATCTTGACAAGACTAATAATCTTGATAGTCTTAGTCTTGGTATTGTCTTGATAACTAATAAAAAATCTTGTCTTGATCTTGTCTTGAAATTCAAGACAAGACAAGATAATATCAAAACTAATCTTGGTATCTCTTGCAACCCTAATGTGTAATGACTGTTTATTCACTACTGCTGAGTGAAATTTAGCCTCTGATAAAAAAATCAACACGTTATTTATAATTTTGTTAGTGTACTTGAATGTAATTAACTGCACTTGTGTGATTTCGTCGACCAAATAATTGTCAATCGAAGCTTGTAAATAATTTAAATTTAAATATTTGAAATAGGACATTTTTTAAATTAATCCCCTTAGATTCTTTTATCGAATAATAATAATAATAGAAATATTTTTTGTAAATATATTACAAAAAAATTAAATACATAAATTTTAAAAGATGCTGATGTTTAAAAAAAAATCAATGATGTCACAAATTTAAAATACACGATCTCTTAAATTGCTTGGCAAGGTTTCTGTGCTCATCCTGTCATTCATGTCCGTGGAGCGGTTTATTTTGATCGCAGCACCTTTGAAAGGTCATCGCGCCATGACGTTTCAAGCTGCATCCTCGTCGATGATTGTCATCTGGATTATTGGATTTATTCTCGCTCTTATACCAGGTTTGTTCTCTTATAGGGACAATTTTTTTATTTAATTTTTATTTAAGTATAAGAATAATTTTCTTATTTAATTTCTACTGAATTTAATTTCGAAATCTCTTATACACATACACGTAGAATTCTCTTCATTATTTCAAGTGAGATATGTTTGCGCTTGTAATTGCACCGAAGAAATCTTTAAAGAAATCTTAAGATTTTTTCGAGAGGAAACAGCAGAAGTTCTCCATTAGCTGATTCTGACGGATTAATTATCTTTCTCGAATCTGAAAGTTATCCACTGGAGAAGCAGTACGAGATACTACGGTGTCAATGGAATGTGCTTTCCTCTACACATAGACGATCCATATCTAATAGGCTGGGAATATTCGACCTTTATCTTTCTGGGACTTAATCTCGTCGGGTAAAGCGCGTTATTGCAACAATCTTGTAAATTGAATGTAGTTATGCGATATGGAACCGGCTATTTCGCATTTCAACTAGATTGCAACTCAGTTTAATCGCCTTTGAACAACATTAGGTTCAAATTAAATTTTATTCGTAATATTTTTCTAAAAAAAATTGTATCCAAATAATCCTTTCCAGATGATTTTATATCGCATATTGTTACATTCAATTACACAGGCCTGCGAGGTTTTTTTTTTTAAATGCAATAGTGATTTCCGACGTAATTTTGTGAGCTGAATTCGAATCTGGCCGCCGAATTTGCGTAGCACGTCACGTTTTTGAGTAATTTGTAATTGAATGGCTCAAAAATCGCTATTTTGGCCAATTTCATGAATTTATTGCGAGGAAATCAAATTTTTTGAAATATTTCTGCAAATGGCATCGTATAATACTCACTTTCGCCTTTCAAATCTACTTTCGATTACCGCTGCACGATTTTTTTTCTCTGAGATATATAAGTATGACGTTGTAAGAAAATTTATGTTAAAGAAAATTTATATAGACATCAATATGGTAGATCCATGATCTTGAAATTTAAAAAGACTGACATATGTCAGGTTCATTTTTGGCCAAAAAAATATTGTAAACAAATGTCTAATACAGTTCTTACACATTTTGATAAATTTTTCTAAATTTTATGCCTTTTTATTGTGATTCTATTCGCCATATTGGATGCGCCATTTTTAATTTCAAAAGGTGACAGAAGGTATTTAAAAATGTATATTTTTATCCTAATTTTGATTCGTAATAAGATAGAGAGGTGGCACGGTTGATTTAGAATGGCTTATTAAATCTCTATGCATGACCAGTTTTATAACTTGTATAACTGAGCGAAAAAAAATCGTGCGGCGGTAATCGAAAGTGGATTCGAAAGATGAAAGTGAGTACTATACGATGCCATTGACAGAAATATTTCAAAAAATTTGATTTACTCACAATAAATTCATGAAATTAGCCAAAATAGCGATTTTTGGGCTATTTAACTACAAATAACTCCAAAACCTGACGTGCTACGCAAATTCGGCGGCCAGATTCGGATTCAGCGCACAAAATTACGTCAAAAATCACTATTGCATCTTGAAAAGAAATTTTGACCCCCTTTTTTGTAGGCCTGTGTTATTGATGTGCTTGAATTTTTACAAAAAGTTTAATCAACATGTACCGCACGAGCAATTCTTATTTCATGATTAACTTGATATTGCATGGTGAGTGGCAACGTTCGAAGCTATCATTGCACTCATTTGCAGATTGATGATTATCGGTTACGTTTACGCTGCCATGTTCGCCAGCATCTGGAGAACGCGTCATGCCACACCGTTATCGGTCGGCGATTCCGAGTTTGCCCTCAGATTCTTCCTAATCGTATTGACAGATGCAGCGTGTTGGGCGCCAATTATAGGACTAAAAATCTTCGCCATGCTGAACTATCCTGTGCCACGTAAGCAAAACGCTGAAGCGAGTTTTCATATCGCCGATTCCTCTCATTCGCGATATCGTTTCCATTAAACTAACAAATAGTTGCTCAAGTCAAAGAAGCATCTTAAGCAATTATTTAGTATTTTTATACCTTCATATATCATAATTATATATTATATATTATTATTTACCTTTATATATTATAAGAGACACAAGTAAGTTAAATACACAGGATGTCTACTCAAATCTTGTAGAAAAATTCCCTGATTTTCTAGATATGTTTGTTAAAATTTTGGATAAAGAGATTATTTTAAAGATTTTTAGTGCAACTTTCAAAAATAATTTTTTTTATTACACGCGTTTTTTAATATTTTTTACTCATACGAAAAAAAACATTAAAGCCTCTTGAGTTCTAAATTTGTAAATATATTAAAAAGAATAAGAGAAATATTTTACTTGCATGAAATGCTCATTTTTTTTATCATTAAAAGCTATAATAATAAAGAACATATGCTGTATATTCAATATTATATTAGATTTAATATTTAATATTTTATTAAAACATTACAATATGTACCAAAAAATATAGATATATATTTATAATATATTTTAAATATACATAACTCATTTGGATTGCTTATAATATAAAAGCAGAAAAGAAATTTTTTTAAATTTCCAATAAAATTCCATGAAAATTGTCTAATTTTTCTAGATACAAAATCTTTAGAAATTTCAGATTTTCAATATTTTCCCAAAGAGAGTAGACATCTTGAATATATATTGTTTACCATTTCAAATAAAAGCATTAAATTTGTTAAGGAGAGCATATAAGAAACATATGTAAAACTGAAATATGAAATATGAAGTTATCAGTTATTTATTTATATAATAGCACATTTAAATTAAATTAAAAAATGATATATATATATATATATATATATATATATATATATATGTATATATTAATGACTGAACATAAAATTTCTAGCTGATTTGCACGCTTGGATAGTGATTTTTATCCTGCCAGTGAATAGCGCGATTAATCCACTGTTGTACACTTTTACCACGCCGAAATTTCGCGAGAGGTTCAACGAGAGTTGGTTCGGAAAAATCCGCACGTATATATCGAGGAAATATTCCAGACAAGGTTTGATATAAATAATTATCCGAATTTTCTGCCATCGGCAGAGATGATAAAATGTTTGTTGCTTTCATCACAGATTCACAGACATCTACCACCGACAAAACTACAACTACTGATAATAAAAACGCGATGCAATCATTATCCATGTGGACCAAACGTGATAGTGACAGAAGAAGAATATCGTTCGTTGATTTTAGCGATGAAAAGCAAAATTATAATGAATTCGTTTCATAATTAATAATAAATATGTATCGCGCATCTTAAATAGTATAAATTATTGCCGATATTTTTAGTGTCCATTGTAGATTGTAGTTACAAATGAGAATTTGAGAGATCTTCATGTATTATGCAGTATTTGATTTTAAGTATATACATTGAATTATTTTTTAAATAATAGAGTTATAAAAAAATGTTTTAAATAAAAATTATTTTGTTTAGGTAGATCTATTTAATAACCGAAACTTAAATGACAATTTTTAATTATCTTTTTTTAAATGTTGTCTATGACAGTTTTATTTTTATGGATTTATCTATTTTACCATAGTTTTATATTACCATAGTTTTTGTATTTTATAATAAATTTGATAATATATAATAAAATTCCAATAATCGTAAAATATTGTCATTTGCGTTACTTTCACAAGTATGAGTGGGAAAGTAAAATATCTTCAATAAAAACTATCACGGATAATATTAAAAAATAATAATTTAAAATTTTCATTTAAATCACATTGTATAGATCTTCTAAAAACAAAATAAATTTTCTTCGAGACATTTTTTATAACTTATTATTTCAAAAATATCTGAGCGTATGCACTTAAACCAAATACATCGCATATTCGTCATATATGTAATAGATTAGCTTAGAAATAACAATAATAATGTAATAATTTTCTTCTCTAATAAATAGTACTCTTATTGTTAGTTGTCTAATATTAAAGAAGAAAAAATATATGTACAATTTAAATTAAATCATAATTTAGATCGTGAATATCACATCATTGTGTTTTATTAGGAGCAATTTAGCAAGTACGTCTATTCTTTTTCTTTTTAGATATAAAAAAGATACTCTCAGAATCATTCATTCTTGATGATGCGGATATTTCGATTGCATGTACTCCGTCCCCCCGATGGAATATATCCTCCACCCACCAGCGAAGATCGTGCTCGAAAGGGTACATAAATTATTTTCCGACGAAGTCGAAAACGCGGACTGCGCCCGAAAAATTTACGACATTGATTCTGATGTACTGGCAAATCATGTTCCACGATGTTGGCACCGTTATACCGGGTCAGCGCCACTTGTTCCGTATTATTATATTGCGAGATGAGAAATTTATCTTCGGACATGCGGGCGTGACTTTTTAACGACTCCGCGCCGCCGTACACCTCTAAAACAAGCAGTACATCACTCAAATATATTCGATTAGTTGGTGCAACAGTCATGGCCATCCCTGGACATGACTTACGAAGCGATAATAAATGATAAAGACGAAGAAACAAAGATAAGGAATTACTGACAATTAATTCCCATCTTTAGAGAATATATTCATACGTGTTCCTCTTCCCTTTACGCATCTCCGCTTTTATATATCAGATTATTATAGCTGCGCGACAACAAATCAACAAAGTCCTCTCGATCAAATAATAATATATAGGGTGTCCCATTTTAATGTCCCACCCCAAATAACTTTCTTATTTTTAATTTTAGAAAAAGATGTTTCAGACAAAAGTTGTATGGTTTCTAGGGGGACATGGAATTGTTAATTGCAAATTACATATTTTTTCTTAAAAACAACTGTATGTTTTCTTTACACCAATTGATTTCTCTCATTATTTTGTACATAAAAGTATTAAGGTAAGATAATCGGAAAATGAATATTTTACAAGATATTTTATGGTTTATGTAAAATTAAGAAATAATTTCAAGTCTCATAACTCGAAAAGTACTTGATGAAAAAATTATTTATTTATAGTATTTTAGAAAGCTCTCGAGATAAGCTACAAGAATATGTAAAATATATAGGATGTTCCATTTAAGAAATTCAAAATGACTTTCACGTAACCTTCATGTGACTCGTCAAACTAATGGCACCATCTTATGTCCCCCTAGAAACCATACAACTTTTGTCTGAAACATCTTTTTCTAAAATTAAAAATAAGAAAGTTATTTGGGGTGGGACATTAAAATGGGACACCCTGTATAATAATTTTAGAAAAAAATTTTTAAACAGATGTTACTAATATCGCAGATATTAAATTTTTATAATATCTTATAAGCTTCATGTATACAGAAAAAGTGTAAAAGCGACTGAAGAAACACGTGTTTGCAACATTTCAATTTGAATAAAAGCGCAAGGTTGGAAGATAGCGTAAAATTAAAATACTTGGCATTGTTCGATGGTTTCGTTTTTACGAGTAAACTCCTCAATGGAAATCCGTTAAAACGCGTACGTGCAAACAACGGGGAGATACGCAACGATATCCGACTTCCGACTCTCCGGGATGGTTGCAGTCAGCCGTAAATCATGCGAACGGTCAAGAAAAATGCATCTCGCGAGCACTCTACGATCTACCGGCACGTGGGTTGGCTCTTACGCGATATAATGTGTAATTTATGGCGGATGGCCAATGGTGAGGTCCCGTTAAGGGGCCTCGATACTTCGCCCGAGACAGACCGCCTTTTAGAACTCTGACTTTTCTTCCGCCTTAAGCTGCTAAGATTTCTTCGGCTACAATACAATTACGCCACGACGTGGGCGGATATGCGTTATGCGATCGTCCACGAAATATCGGGACGAAATAAATGTCCCGGAATGAAAATGGAAAAAGAAAAAAATACGGACAAATACATCGGGTAGATATTTAGGTAAGGTACACGGGTGTGACGCAATTGGTGCGCACGTCGTTGAATTATCGAGTCATGTCCGAGGCAAAAATTGCCCTCCATTATAGATATTGAGGGGCCCCCATTTATTCGAGAGGGAAGACGAAACGATTATAACGATTATCTCTGATTCTTTCTGCAGGGATTATTATAAGCCTTTCGCAGAAACATACCAAGAAGTATTGCCCTTCCGTGAAACGTCATCAAGACATTCGTATCTGTGTTATATGTAATAATTAATATTAAGATTCGCTGTAAACGTTCGCAAAGATGCATCGCGTTTCTCGGAAATAATTAATAAATTTCTAAAATACTATGTAATTTAAATTAAATAGTTATCGTGTCAATAAGCGTTCTCTGTTCGATGTGTGTATGTAACAAAGAGAGTTTCCCGAGCAATAACGGAATGCCAGGACGCTGGCCGGAAGGCGGGAAACGTGAAGGAATTTACAATGAATGTATGTACAACATACACGTAGGGTCACGCATAGCATAGATTGCTGCAACTTTTGGAGAAAAAAAGAACGTTTTACATGCATGCTACACAAAGCGAAAGCGAGCAACAAGATCGCAAGGCCTTCCGAAGGCCTTCCCGAGAATTGCTCCGAGTATCTATCAGCAGCATGGAATGCAAGAAAGGAATGAAACGTGCGACTGCCTTTCCCAATAACATTAGTGTACAAAAAAGATAACAATTTTCTTTATAACATTTACCAATTTTTACTAAAAATAGGAAAAAAGAATATGACACTGTAATATATTTATCAGCTCCAAGTTTCAAAAAATGATATTCAGCTCTTTTGGAGAAAAACAAAATACTTAATTTAGTAAATTTTGAGAGAATTTAATACAATACAAAATTTAATACAATTTAAAATCATTAGAAATTTATTGTAATTCATATATTAAATAAAAAATGTGAAAACATTGAACGTTTCTGTTTTCCTTTTCGTTTATATTTAGTTCTTGAGCATCTCTTGTCACATTCCAATACTAATAAGAAGCATAGATGCGAGATTGAATATTTCTCTAAATCCTAAAAGGAGCTATGTCAAGTAAGGGCTAAACTAAGAGTTTCAAATGTCTTGTTTTTTTTCAAAATTAATAAGAATTGACTATTTTGTAGTCAGAAATTTTTATTTAAGCAAACTTATATTTCAATTCTTCATTTAAATTTTTCAATACACAGAGAAAAATGTATACTATATTCAAGTAAATATTATTTATTTTAAGTGTATCATAAATTTGTATATCCGCAAATATATCATAAATTTACCACAAGCATTAAATTTAATTGAATATAATCGAAATTTTAGTAAGTGCAATATTTTAGTCAAGAATATTAAATTAAAACAAAAATTTGGTTTGCTTACTACAAGAATTGACGTAAAGTAAGTTTGATTTTTTTTTAAACAACTTTACAATATTCTTGAAGAGAAAATAAATTCTTCTTTTGAGTACATGATAATGATAATGAGATTTTCTAACACTTGTGATGAATATATTTTAAGATTATTATCAAGAATATATTCTTTGTTAAAGAAAACTGTTGTTTAAAAAAAGAAAAATAAACTGATTAACCGCTTTTCTTGGCAGTAGAATGATATTTTTCTCTGTGTATCCATGACAAGAAACAATTTTTGCTTCAGATGCATATGATGACAATAATACCTCCGTCAATTATATTATATCTAATTGAAAAAGACAATTATTATTATTAATTATAAAAAAAACAATATTTCTAAATAATAAAAAATATATCTTAAAGAAATATTTAGTGAATAAAAAAATATATAATGTATATCGTATACATCTGTTTATAAATAATTATTCAATGTATCACATTAATTTGCTGTATTAAATTCTTATATAACACAAATGGAGAGAAAAATTGATCAAAGGTATACGGCTATCTGTGAGCCCCAACAATGGAAAGGTCTTGAAAACGTTAATAAAGTCTCGAACAGATCGCTCGCCAATCTACGAAATTGGCCGGCGAGATTCGCAAAGAGTTAAAGACGGCCATCAGACGATCTCCGGCGCGAAATCGATGCGAAAGAGCCGCCCGCGCCACGGATCTTCTCCTTCCCACAATTATAGGGTATAAAAATTCTTTCGGATTTCAGTCACGCGAGCAAAGGCTGCATTCGGTCCACGGAAAGAAGATTTACGTGCGAGGCGGTAATTGGCGCTGGTTCGAGGCTGATTCTTACAGCGTGAGCAGAAATCCCCGGATATATTCGGTATTTTGCGATAAGAAAATGTAGAGTGCCACAGAAAATGTGGAGAAATCCAAGAATATTCAGTACAACATAGCGACTATATTATACGTATTTACGCTTCAATGCGATCATCGGTAGTGGTATGTAA